AAAGATCTAGGTGAAACTTTCGAAGAGTTGGCCAAATTACTTTCCGAAAACAGGGTAAGCCAACATTGGACACCATCATAAGCTATACAAGATGTCTAATTGAGTTGCTCTTTCGCTATTTTTTTTTATAAATTACATTACAATCTTCGGTATCAAAAGCGTACTCTAGTTACCATGACAACTAGCTATTCAATAGTTTTAAAAGAATGGAAAATCTTCTGTCTAGAGTATATATATAGGCGCATGTTTTGATTGTCCAATTTGCTCCATTTTGTTTAAAACTGCTTGTTTATCTTGATTTTCATAATGGAAAAGATGTCTTATGCTGTAAATAGATTTTTTATTACGTTCTGACAACGACGAAAAGTATTAACTGTCAGTTTTTAATCGATGAATTTCATATCATTTACCCCGATATAGGAATTAATGGATAAATACGGCGATTTAGAAAAGCAGTGTGATGAGAAAAACCATGATTTACGAATTTTAACTACTCAAGTGACGACTATAAGAGCAGTTGTAAGTATATTAGCACCAATCAAAATCGAAAATAAATGACGTATCACTTATATTTTATATTAAAATGAAAAAAATTGGGTATAAACGTTTTTATGTCTCCGATTGATATGTTAGTTACATGCTAAAGAACACGCTCTAGACGAAACATCGGAATCTTTGAAAAAAGCCGAACGAGAAATTGAAAGACTAGAAAAAGAAGGTTAATATTAGTATCAGAATTGGATGAATGTGTTAAAATGAAGAAAATATGTTTTTAAGTATTAACAGCTTAAAAATCGTGATGATTCTGTTAATTTTATCTAGTGGTAACGAAAAACGACATGAAGAGAGATCTATCCTCAACTAAGGAAGCTTTGAGAGAAGCCAAGTAATTCAAATTTTAAGATGATACTGTAGATAGAATTGTTTGCTATAATAGAATATTAATATTTTCTTTATTACATTTTAATAGAACTTCAGCTTCAGACAGCGAGAAAAAAATTAATTCTTTAAAGAAGGAACTACGTGAAACTATCTTACAATTTAAGGTAGATTTAAAATACGCTTTAATCAAAGTTCATTTTATTATAGCTGTACTGAGGTAACAACATATTAATCTGAGCGTATATATTCATAATATGCAGGATTCACAAATTGCCATCGAGTACAGAGATAGACAAATGGGTACAATGTCTAAACAATTGGCATCATATAAAGACAAAACAGAAGCACTGGAAAAGGTAAACATGACACTAAATGAAATATACTGATGCTTTCTTAAGAATTGTACGGATTACATACCTTTTATTTAATCCATAATTCACAATATCATTTATAGGAGGTAGCTATTATCCCTGATTTACAACGTCGCTTAACAGACACTGAAGAAGAGTTACAAAGATTGCGTTCAAAATATGAAGAGAAGGCAACACAACTGATACTGTGCCGAAAAAATTTGAAAGATTCTAGAGGAAAAATCGAGGTTAAATTTCTTTCATCAGCGATATTAAAACCACTTCTCCTCCTGATCGATATTAATGTAATAAATTACAATAGAGGCACTAATATGCTGTTAATTTAATAGATTTTAAATCAAGAATTGGAAAGATATCCATCTGTTTGTCAAGAATTAGACGAAGCTAAAATGGAAGTTGCTTCACTCAAAAGACTTATAGTTGCCAAGAACAATTTGGTTCAACAACAATTTCGAGAATTGGATTTGGCTAAAAGTCGTTTAGATCTTGTCGAAAAATCGGAAGCGAAAAAGAATAACATCTTACTCAATGTACTAGAAAGGACTTCACGATATCCAACTAATAATGCAGGATCTGATGATTCACGGTCTCCGAGTCCTCCAGCTACTAGGAGGTAAATAGCAAAAGATATGTTAATCTATAAAAGTTTGTATTGTATCTATAATGTTAAAGACTATGTGTTACAAATTTCTAGACTCATGATACCAAGTTAGTCATGATCTCTAATCTATTAGCGAACCAAACTTAATTTATTAAATTTTCTGGTTTTACATAGACCGACAAGTGCACCTCAATCACCACGAACAGGAAACGAAATGGGATTAGATGATGAAAATATAACAGATGTAATAAAAATAATAAATTTAACTGTTTAATTAATAATTCTTATTTCATCAGTTATATGAATATGATAGCTAACCTTTATCTCTTAAAATGATCTAGTTTACATTTAACTTATATCAAAAATGTTTTAAACATTTTAGTTTGATCCAAGGGAGATCGGTGGCCAAGCTCCTAAAAGATCTATTTCAAATTTGGATAATTCTCTAAAATCTATTATAAGTAACGGAATCCATTCGGAAAGAGGTGGAATATCTTGGTCACCAGAGATCTCTGGCAAAAGTAACATTAGTAGAGGCCATAAGCCAGATTTCTCCATACCATGGAGTCTTAAGCAACCTATGCCGAGTATCCTACAACAGGGTGAAAAGATTGAAGATGAATTAGATATTTCGATGTCCAAATACTCTCCTAATACAAGGCGAGCAAAGAGTAGCGAAGACGAAGATGAATTGCAATGTAAGTTTTATTTTATGATTACCCAATATTTTCAATCTGATTAGTCAGCATTTAAATATCTTCATCTCTTTTTACGGAATACAACGAATTTGTTTCAAACAAGCTAGCTCAACTCGACTTAATTATCATATCCATATTTATTTAGTATCACCTGTAACCAAGAATATCAATGCAGTAGCCTCTCTAGCCTTGAATAAAGGGCTCAGTTCGACAATAAATGCAATCAATACTGAACCAAAATTAGTCCATATGGTCAAGATTGGTGATCGTGTATCTGCTCGTTGTATAATCAAAGGTAAAACTGTTATAGAAATATTTGAGACTGTCTGTTTGCTTGCTGGATTATATTTCATACGTCTATTCCGTCTTTTTAATGATTGAAAAATTCCTTATAGATGATAAAGTTGACCGAGAAGAAATTGTTAGTGGTATTGTTAAATACGTTGGTAAATTAGATAGCGCTTATGTGGATAATCGCATCTATGTTGGCTTAAAACTAGATAGACCAGGTAGATTTTGAGCTCAATAGAAGTAATTATAGGTCAAAGTTGATTTAAAATTACTGCGCGCTGTGACATTTTTGTTAAAGCTAATCTAAGAACTTATTACAAATTTTGAAAACAGTGGGTGATACAGATGGAGTTGTTAATGGGAAACGATATTTTAAGTCTCCACCAAACCATGGAAAGATTGTTAGATTGTACGACGTTATCTCTGTTTTACATCCGAAGGTAAAGAATGTTACAAATTATTTGCTTTACTTATTGTCTAAACATTAACGGGAATAAACTCGTAGATATCTAAATGTTAGTATCGTTATTCTGAAGTATAATTTAATGAGTTAAATTTAGAGTTCTAAATTTTACAATATTATATGGTATGATGGTATTATTATCAAACTATGCAGCAGAATCATTAATTTAGATTGACGTTTTAATACCATATATTAATAAGAAAGCTTTAAAAATTCGCTTTAAATGAAATTGTAATTCTAATCTATTCCATACGTTTCTTATTTATTTCATTAATAGCATATTAAGCCACTAAATTTTCAAGAATATGTCTCTCCAAGAGTTGAATTGGCTAAATAAATGAATCCGATTTTTCCATAGAGTAGAATGTTCTATATTTATAAATATTCTATTTTTCACTCATTGAACGAAAGTAAAGCTTTGGCTTGATACTGAATGGCATATGAATTCTTAAAAATAACGTATGATGTGGCAAAATGGCAGTTATAATTGTAACAAATTATAATGCAAACTTATGCAGAGATATCCACGATATCAGTTACTGAAAATATTTCTTTTGATACATTTTCGTATCACCTTTTGAATTAAAACTTGATCGTTGTACGAAAAAATAAAAATTTATAATTATAGATAACTAGTTGACAATATTGTGAAATCACTTTGGTACAATAGACATTGATGATTTATTAAATATGCAATATACGATGAAACTTTGTAATGTCACAATTGATACTTACAGTAGTAAAATAGTTTACATTTACTGTTTTTTTGTTTTCGTTGTATATCAAACTATTTTATTAACGGCAGTTCTGTACAGTTTTAGTATGGAAATGAATTTGAAGTCAATCTAATGTTATAGTTACTACTTTTTATCAGATCTGGATTAATCCTTCTCGAAGAGGATGAAATTTTAATGTAGATAAGATAGTATCTTCTGTAAACTTGCAACGGTATACCTATAATGTCTTTAATTTTGTTGCTGACTACACGACAAACTATATCATCCAACGCTTAATCACGTTGTAATAGATAAAGAAAATCTTCTTTTTAAAAATGTTTGCTCATTTCCGGTATTAATATTGTTTATCATTAGTATTTAATATTTTGTACAATATAAAATATTTCCTAATGTCTGATGTTTACTCTTAAGATATTAGTATCATGATTTGTCGCAAGGACTATAGTACATTATTGCAATTTTGAAAATTTGACTTCCTTATGTGCACAAAGTTGTTTATTACCGACTCCAAATAAAATGTTATAGTAACTAATATCTCGTAATTACATAGAAAATAATATATGTACGACCCATTGAAAATGATCGAGTATGATACTTGCTGGCTGCTGCACTGGAGGTTACATTCAGATTTTATTTAAAATCAGCAGATAATACATTTTAATATAGTCTAAAAGTTTATATATCCAAAGATCATTCTAAATCAGCTGAGCAACAATTTGATATAAGATGATCATCAGTTCTATATTAAAGCAAATATTACATTAAAGTTTAGGTGATTCTTTTTTCTGTTTTGATGAAATAAAATAGTGGAAATGTAGAAAATGGTAAAGCAGAAATATGCTAAAACTTTTCCATTTACAGTTTCTCAAATAGTAAATTACAGCAAATGCTGTATATTACTAAAATCTACTTTTTAGCTGCAGCAAAACTGAGAGTGCTATCACATGGTTTGTGAGCGTCCTCAGCAAAAATTTCTTCGGGGATTTCATCACCAGATTGGTGAAAGTAGGTCGGATATGGAGGAGGTTCCTTAGGAGGCTTAAAAATGGCATCAGTTATGCGAATGAACTGATTTTCATGGCCAGGTACGGCACCTTTAACATATAATATATCGTATTTTGTGTTGATACGCAGTATCTATAATAAACAAATGCAAATCCTTGGTAAGTATTTTAACATAGATTTAGAATACAGACACGCTATCAAAGAACACCAACTAAATTTGTATCAAAAACTTTACTCACTCTTAAATTCTTAGTTGTATGATATTTATTTCCCATTCTTCCAGCCATTTTCTTACCAGGCCAAATGCGTCCGGGTTCCTAGCATACACCGACAGCAAATTACGGTGATTTATTGTTACGATCTCTCCCATGTTCTACTTGTCATGATTCAAATTTTAAAATGATCCCGGTAAGGTAATCTTACCTGACCACCGCCGGTAGCACCCATTTTTCTGTGGGTTAATGATACACCATGGGTCGCAGGCTGTCCCTTCATTCCATGTTTTTTCATGACACCTTGAAAACCTTTACCAATCCTAAATTCAACGTAAAGTTATTATTATAGATGTTACAATTACGGCTTGCAGTTAATGATAGCGTAGGCGATCCAGCTGCGGACGCAATACTACTTATTTTATAGGCTACCATGAACGAATATCAAGCACGCTTACGTTTTCGCTTTGACATCAACATATTGTCCGGGAACGAAATGCATGGCATGTAGAAGGGTTCCTGAAGAGGCAAAATATGCGATAGATTAATCAAGTTGTTATGATTATTGTGCAAGTCGTACTGGAATGCACCATTAAGTACAGCTAAAAGGCTGGATGATTGGTATTCTAGTTATAACAATGGATATTCGATAGGTACGTCCAATGTTGCGTAAGTTTACTATGCTTTAATGCTTATTCTATCGCAGAACTTTCTTTATAAGTTGGTATACTGTATAGTAAGCTTACGATTGGTCAGTTCGGAACAAGTAGAAACTGAAAAATTAGAAGATGGGCCGTATGATGTATCTAATAATACTGTAATATTGATTGTAGTAATTTCTAATTTTGATGATTATCATCCTGATGTAGATCACCTTGATATTTAGTGCATATTATTACGCGAGATTATAATGACAACTTCAAGGTTAGCTTTTCCTATTCTTACCCCTTAAAATAAGAGCGTCGTCAGATACTTTAAACTCCCATACTTTCCTTTTCGGATTAACACCAGCTCTTGCGAAATGGCCTAGTTGAGCTCTTCTGACCTACGGATAAACGCTAAATGGGCTTATATGGGTCTACTTGATAAGCTTGACAAAATCAAGAGCAGCTATCTTTCAATATAGATTATCTACAGTAAAATTCATCCTTGATGGCATCAGTCAATTACTAGGCACCTTTAGCTTTGTACACACATATTGTATCAGAAATGCAATTATTTCATAACAGCAGATTATCTACAGAAAATATGACGCAGTCATAAGCCATGCACTACACTAGCGAATGATGAAGAAATGCCAAACTTGTATAAGCATATCCTATCCGAGTGAATACAGTTAATGCAATGCTGTACAAGAGATTATCTACAGCAAAATAAGTCATTAACCGCACTAGAAATGGCAGAACAGATGAGAAACTTTTGCGTCAACATGTCGTATGGAGTCGCTCGACTAAGTCCTACAGAATGGATTTGATTAAACTAACGTTGTGCTTACGTATAAGAGTTTTAGTCGATCCACAGCACCAACTTGGACTGCACAATATCCATCCTTTGCTTTGGTTTTATTATGCAATACATGGCATTGCTGAATCTAAGATTGATGAAATACAAGGAAAGAATGTGGTGTCAATCCGTGAATTTGAAGTCATGATAGTGCCCAACCGACCGTATAGGTTGGGGATTCTTCAAGGCTAAGTCATGCCATATTTTACAGGTGATGATTGAACTACTTAACAATCATTTTCAGTACAATGATACGGAGAAATTCACTGCAAAAACTCACTTTAATTAAAGTTACAGGTACTCTAGTTCCATCTTTCATCCACATAGGCATCATCCCTAATTTGACACCAATTAATCCTGTTCGACGTGAGCCAGGTTGCCAAGTTGGCCATGACGATTGCTTTTGCTCGTCATTTGTGGTCTTTTTGTCTTGCTGTGCATTGGCCTTTTTCTTAGCTACTTGTGTTGCTTGGCTTGCCAATCCTCTAGTAATTGTCTTTGATATTGTGTTATAACTAGTTGATGATAGATGGTTTATTAACGAAGGGAATGGCGACGCCACGGAAGTTACATTGGAAATCCATTTTGCAAGCTGCGACGCCATGCTGCCGTTCCAGAGCGAGCTTCACTGACTTCGGACGGATAGCTCTTGGACTAGGGATGACCCTGTTGCGTTACAGTCCAGAATCTGAAGGCTTGTTTCGCCCATACGAGTTCTGATCGCTTTGGTTGTATCCAGTATAATACATAGTACACGCTCGGCAGTAATAAGCAGTCTATAGTGGACAAAAAGATGGACGATCTGTAGGGCTTCTACTGTAACAACAGTCTAGTTGCAGTCAAATTCTAGTTATTCTTTCCACTTGAGTGTACTTGGTAATTGCTTGGAAGGACTGACATGGGACCAGATAGTAGCATGACCTCTAGTAATGACTGTATACCGTTTCAAACGTGACTTTACACTCTATACTGTACACTATTCGAGACCATGAAGTCGTGGCGAGACCTTGTACAATGTACAGTACGTCCAGTACAGTACATTAACAACTTAGGATAGTACTGTACACTGTAGCCGTCCACATCCAAATGAGTGATTGCAACGATCTCATCGATTGATGGATGCAATGTTGCTAAGCTATGGAAGAAAATAAGGCTAAGCATTCCGATCTTAGTTTGGCTGGTGTACAGAGACTACAAGAAGAGCAAGCTAAGGTAAATGGAAGAAATAAGAAGGATGTAATGTAGGTGATCGTAGGTGCTGCTAGGCAATGTTGTGCTATAGATAGACTTACCTTATACATTAACCAAATTGCAAGATAATCTGAATGTAACGAGCCTTATGATCGACTCGGCAGACTACCACAAGCCCTCAGTCATGCTTACTAGCTGCTAAGCAATGTTGTCCTATAGACATTGGCCTTGTGATACAGGCTGTAGCCTTGTTGCAGGACTACTACTTATTTTACTTAAATTGTAAAATAATCCAAATATAATGAACGCTATCAATCTACTCGGCAGAGCATGACAAGTCCTCAGTAGTGATCAGTAGCTGTTGGGCAATGTTATCCTATAAGCTTAATTGAGCGTAAATAATGAGCCATCACTTTGACAATCTACTCTAAGCCTTATTTTCCTACCTATTGTACATTTCGATATGTTATACTAATTCTTCCTTCTGGACATGGTCGTGATAGGAAGCAGAAGATTGCCAACAAAACATTCAACAGTGGTATGTAAACACTCGATTCTATTAAAATCGCTCTTGTGTTAATATATTTATGGAATTGAATACCTTAGCTTTGCATAGAATTTTTACCCCTGAAGATGAGTACGTTGCGTAAATTGAATATTTGTAGTATATGTAGAATCCTTGCTTTGTGCAATGATATAAACATTGTTTTTCATTATTTTCTGAGCTCTTTCTGTAAATTGATGGTCATATTGGAACTTCAGTAAAATATTTAAAGTAACTTTAATTGATATTCTTGGTGGGCTACTTAATTTATAGCAAGAAATTGATTTCTGATTATGAAGATTTACAATCGACCTTGGAGACCCTGCCTTACAAAAGATCTTACGATATTATGGTATGGTATAACTTCAATAATGTCATAACATTTATTATTAGCATTATAAGTGGAGTACTTGCTAGGAATAATCTATTTAAGCTATAAATAAACCTAAATGGTTCCACGCGTCTTATACAGATATGATTTGATGTGCAACGTCTTGAGATTAATGTTACATTATACCGTATTTTAGTATCAGCTTCTAATATTTGTATTGTGATTATTTATCAAATTTAGGTCCCGTTTTGCGGGGAATTGGCATTTTTTCCTGGCAACTTAGTTCATACCAATGAGGTAACAGCTCTTATAGGTGATAACTGGTTTGCTGATGTATCCGCAAAAGAAGCTCAAGATATAGCAAATAGAAGGAAGCTTGGTTAGTGAGTAGTATTATTCGATTACCATTTATATGATATCTTCAGCCATATAGTACATAGAAGTGCAATGAATCTTTCTCCAGAATATATAAAATTTGCTTTATCATCCTTTAGAATTAAATGAAACTCTATCAAAACTTGAACAACAGCGACAAAATTTATCGGAAAGATTAAAGCTTAATTCAGAATTTGAAAGAGATCTAGTGGTAATCTCTCATTCTTTTCTGATTTGCACTTATGAAATTTGCAATTTCTCAGCTTTCATAACTATCTTACATCGAATGTCGTCTGTCTGATTAGGAAAAGGATGGAGATGGAGTTATCGAGATCAAGGAAGAATTGACAGAAAAAGATGAAGACTTACTTTATCCTGTTAAACGTAACATTGAATTCATTAAATTTTTAGATATTATTATTAATGATACGTGTATTAGTTCGAATTTATAAAGATCATCCTACTCCATTTAGGTATAAGTAGGCTAAAGTCAAATGAAAATACTAAAAGTAATATATCTACTGCTAATGAAAAGACCAAAGTCAATACTTCGACTAGCAGTATTGAAACCGATGATGCATACTGGGATAGACTCGAGAAGTTAGAAGCAGAAAATGAGGAACTGAGTGATGAATTCACGTCTCAGTATGACGTGCAAGATGATACAACGATTCGATTTCATCATAGTCAAAAGACGCCGAAAGAAAATGTCCCCTCGTTAGCACAGGTAATGACGATAACTGATCATTAATAATAATCATCGCTTTATCTATCTTTTTTGCCAATTTAATAGGAAATTTCAAGCCATTCATCTATTGAAAGACCAGATCAAGTTCAAAAATTGATCTCGCAGGGAAGTCATACTGCCAATGAATCAAAAATTGTAAATACAGCTACCAAGGTTAGTCTTACTTTATTGCGAAAGATAGAATAGATATCAGTAGTATTGATATTCTAATAGAAATGATTGCATTTCAATTAGTCTTTTACTGGTGAAATAGTCGAGAAGCAAAGTCCTACTACCAAGCCTGCGGTAAGCTGCTATACCAATTTTTGGGTACAATAGGAAGGCAGTAGAATGAAAGTGTTTAAGATCTTTACTAAGATATATTTGCTGTCTGTTTACTAATCAGCCGGTTACTGCAAAGACGATAGAAAAGTCTAGTACTCCTGTATCATCCGAGGTAGACTTAAAATTTACCGCTATTTCTGATGGTTCAATTTCATTCGCATGCTTTAAAGACTAATTCAATAACATGTAGCAGTGACCTTTCGATTTGTATCATTTCAGCCACAGGAAGCCTCAAAACCAGTTTCTAGATTCAGAGCACAAAGGATGAAAAGTGGAAAGTAGTAACAGTTGGGTAGCGGTGTCAATGAAAAATGGTGATATTTATTTATTTTTGCTGTCCAACGACTCAATTGCATCTTAATGATGCAGAATTGGAGATGTTTGTTATGACGATGCTATTAAGTCAATACTGACAATAAATGTCTTGCATGGCAATCTAAACATTGATATAATGTATCTTTATAGATAAAGACTTTACAACGATATACTTCAATAAAAGCATTTTATTCTTGGCGTCCATTTTAAAAACATTACGAAAACTTTTAACGAATGTAAACATGCAATTTAGCACTTATACAGTTATATGAGAACACTAGAGAGTGTCAAATGCAGTTTTCAGTACTTACAGAAACGTCTGAGAAGTATACTGTCGATATGGTAGTATGTCTCAGTACAGTAATTATAAACACATATTTTTGGAGATATAGCTCAAGCTGCTAGATGAATAGTTTGCGCTGAAGAAACATGATCTCTTCCTACAAATCGTCCCTTACACCGAATCCAGGACCGGTAGGTGGTGAACTTAAACTTGTTAGTCCAGTAATTGGTTCAGCACATTTACGGCCACTCCTGACAGATACGATAAATTCGAGTGATATTAGTCACTGCTGTCGAGTAACTTATAAAAACGTTGAATACCGTTAAAAAATTGTACAAGATCTTACCTGGGCCCAGCCGTAGGTTTTGAACCAGCTTTCAGCGAGTCCAAAATTTCTTCCATGTCATTGGTGGTAAGGTCCTCCTAATCAATTTGTAATGCAATGCACGCATTGGTTAGCTTGTGAGCTAGTGACACCTTTACCATTTTCAGTTCAACAACGTACATAATAATCGTCATTAATTTGTACCATCGGAGCATTAACACATGCTCCTAAGCATTCCACTTCAGAAAGTGTAAATAATCCATCTTTGGTAGTCTGACCGATCTCGATACCTATTCAGTTTAAGATTGATAAACTATGATGAATGGTAGTCTACGGGTTTCCAGAAAGCATAAAATCTGATTGCTATAATACTATATAGACAATTACAATAGTTCTATCCTTTTCCAAAGAGTAACTCCATATTTTAGTAGTACGAATAGAAATTACCTAGCTTTGACTTAATCACATTCAAGATACTATCGGAATCCCGCAACATACATGGCGTTGTTGTACAAATTTGTATATGATATTTACCCATGGGCTCCCTAATTGTAAAACAAATTTTAAGCATGTTTCATTAGTTGGTAGTGATAACTGGATAATACAATTAAACGATTAACATACCTATTAAACATAGTATAAAATGTAGCGACTTCATATATTCTCATACGAGATACGCTAAGATAATCGGCAACATAATTCATTGCGGTCAGAGGAAGCCAACCTAGCAATAAATTCATATCGAATCAATGGTAGCATTATGCGACCACAGGCAGCATTTGAGATTGGCCAAGTTCACTTTAGCCATGCTTGTATCAATAAATTGTAATAACTACAAGATTGATTACCATGTTGCCTCTGAGCTAAATCGAGCAGTGGAATAATAGCAGCATTCTTATGACCTTCTGGATAATTAGCTATGATCTGTTCAGCTCGCTAACGTTTGCATATCCCGTAGAATAAAAAAAGTGATCAACAAGCATTATTGATATCCATATTATTTTTAAGTATATACTACAAGCTAATCGCAAGTAAGCAACTCTCAAGTCTTGCCCATCTATTGTACTGTATACCGGTATATCACTGCAGTCTAAAATGACATACGCAAAAGACAATCTATATTGATGAGTATTTTTACCTTCTTGGATTTCTCAGTAAATTCAAAAGGTATATCAAGATTGTTGTCTTTGCTATCGCGGTGCTATAATTATGTTTGAGATAGAAAGATGTTGATTCATGTCAGAACAATTTCGTTTTTAAGGTTAAGATTGTGAAATTTTGCTATGGCAAAGGTTTATTTATATATTTTGGCTGTCCAAGATGTTTCTATCACTGATTACTGTGCCAACACTTGTATGTCTATCGATGGGGCATATTGAGGTAGACGATTGTCACCAAAGTGGTTTGGATATTATTGCACTTGGTAAACATCAGTAGTTGAATACAATGAAGGCAAAAGCATAGTTGTAAAGTGCAATTTGATCATGATGAAGGTTTGTAGAGAGTTTCCTACATGGATTTGAGGACTAGAGGCAATTGACTGTTAAAGTACTGTAGGAGTATTTCGATTCCTGTCTAGTACAGTATCCAATCGGTCTCTAAACTTGAATCGAACGGCGTTCTACATCACTGTAGCACGTATAATGTAAAGTACTAGTCTATCATTGGTGAACTACTCTAACTCGATCGATACAATCTGATGTTATGGATGAATAAATAGACTAGAATGAATATCATCATTTGGCTGTAGTAGAGAAACTTACAACAAATAATTTATCCGACAGCAGCTGGGTTGTTGTTACTAATTTTCTTTGGTATAAAACCTAAAAGGAGTGGCCAAGAAGGACGTTAGTATGAAAAACAGTCGAGTTAATGCATTCTCTTCTGACATTGGTTGATCATTATACCTTGGATGTATTCCATTGGCGAGGTAGCACCCGGCGAAAGGCAATGGACAACATGGCGTCTGTAGGCTGTACCTAAGCAGGAACAAAATGGAGGTCGCGGTCACGGTTCGCTCTCACTCTTAGTCTAACTTCAGTCACGGTTCAATCGTACTGTACACTGTACACTGTACGGTACAGTCCTTAATGCTCTGGAACCGGATCGGATCGTTTCAACCCTGAATCCCTTACTATTTAGCCTACGGCTGCCTTTTTCTACTATTCTATGCCTAGTTCTAGACAGCGCGCATTAGGCTACAGTATGCGAGATGTCCATCAAATGAAACTGATGACCCTCAAAGCCATATGATGCGATTGTTGGCTTGGATTGAGGCTACAGTGTACAGTACAGTACACTGTACAGTACAGTACATGGCAGGATCCAGCCATCTGTACTGTCCGTATCACACCGACCGTACTGGACGCTCAGTGTACAGTACAGTGCACAGTACTGTACACTCATATGTACTGTACTGTAGTCTTTGGTACTGTGCCTGTGGTCCGTGGTTTAACAACAAGACCAAACTAGACCAGGAAGATTTCATACTGTACTGTACATTGTACAATGGACATCATAAAATGGCGCCGTCAGGCAAGACTATTAGTCTTGTGTTACTGTACTGTATATCAACAGGGACTGATATCAAGAATTATTGGAATACTGTACTACGATTAATGAATAAGTGACCTAATGACTTCTCAAATACTTCAATTATTTTGAAATATTCAATTCAAGTATATTACAAATCCAAATGTACCTGGCAGCTCATTAAGCCACTTGATCGCAATATTAAAACTTGATACTGTACAGTATATGGGAAGGCTTAACTACTAAAAGAGAGAAAATCTTGAACAAGAGATTTTCGAACTTCGCGTTCTTACTGCTAATGACACTACATGGTTATTGCCATCACTGGTAAAAGCTAGGATGATACAGCTAGTAGCAATAAAGTAGACAGCATGAGAGTTGGGTAAAAAGAATGCACACCGATGGATAATAAATGTCGCGAACTAAACAATATTTACAGTATAATCACTTAGACTGAAGACGACATCTACTTTGCACATTGCAGCACAACTACTTGTAAACAATCTACACGACCTCTACCTTCATGACTGATCATGTTCTCAACGATGCAGGAGAGAGATCGGTGACTAAAATATAGGCAAAAGCTACTGCTGTAATGCTAAGTATATACTTCAGTAGTCATTCAAAGGCTCAATGACCATAGGGCCTTGTCGCATTTCGCAGCTATTTTGTCATCACTTTATCCGTTTCCATTACGTTATCATATATTCATGTCAACTCTTGCATCGTCGATAAGTCACTGTTATATGCTTTAGAATTAAGGTTCGCTTTTGTTAGTTTTCCCTATCCTTTATTACTATAAAAGAGAAGAAGGTTATGTATAGGACGGCTATAGAATCGGAGTTGGAAGGAATAATCAACAAAAACAATCTCTAATTGCTAGTAATTAATTATCAGAGGTAATGATCATTTCTGATGAAATACGTGTGACCGAAGTTGTAGCGATCATAGACATATGTACTCGTATATTAAAACTTGTTTTTTTCATACTCATTTCTTCGTGGTAGCGACAGATAACTATACTTGCTTAGTATATAAGTTCTCATATCGGTGTATTGAAAGAGATAAATGATTCTGATGTCATATCCCTAAGCTTTCTTGTCTCCTAACAGGTCTGTCCTATCGGCCTCGGCCACTATACTCGTAGAATAGGGTAGAGACTTAACAATCACATTAGCAATTCTACAACTTCTCCATACTAATCCTGATGAAATAACTTTGCATATTCTCCAAGTGGTTATAAATTGGATAAGTAGAGAAAGTAGAAAATATCATCGTGTGTAGCGGAATCAGCTAATGTTAGAGAAATAATTCAATCACTTTTAGGATTGATTTTCAAGATTATAGCCTTCAGAGCAGCATGATCAAAATCATTCATCTTTCAGGCAATTCCTCATGATGGTATGACGAAGTTATAGTAATAACAATCAATACCCAATAACTTGTCATCAAGAGTTGCAAACTACAGGCAAAGAGCTGAAAGTGAAAATACAACACTAGCCTTCTCGGTTATACAACCACTGACAACTCTATTTACTATTCTATTCAGCATGAAAATATAGTACTATTCATTCAAAGAATAAACTCATACCACAAGCAAATTGATTCTATGATCTATTTTTTCGCCATAGAACTGCTGTACCAATCTACAATAACTATGGCAACAATCTTGAACATTACATCACTGCAAGCCTAAGGACGCTAAACAAATCCAAAGCTACTACTTATTCATAATCTTAGCTCAAAACACAGCCACACCTAGCTCAGTATATCAATCTACTCCATTTACCCTATCCGATCACAAATAGCTAAAGAACAGTAATATTTCGACTACTCATGTTGCTACTTTAACCTAGGATCAACAGTTAAAGTAGAGCGTATCTCGTCCATCGGATAAAATTCATCTCATCAACATGGATATACTTGTATTCAATCCATTCCATTGATAACTTTGAATAATATATTGATCTCTATATAATTCAATAAAATACAATCCTGAATGTATTCTTAAGCCGAAGAGGAATTACGCTACCAGTCTAGGACAGAAATGACATCCATAACGATACTGTATCGGTCTTGTGCCAATATGGAAAATGGTAAAGAAGCAGTAGATGATGGCTATTCAAGAAATGAATGATTTTCCGCAAAGGTTTTGGATATCATTGCTACTCTAAAATAAATGAGTAAAAACAAAATGAAAAGAAATGAAGTAAAATAGTGATCAATCAATGGATATTGTCTATTATTTTGAATACCAGCTGTTCCAATAACAATACTCATATCCTCCGCCCCTCCTCAATTTAGGAAACATTAAGGCTAACATAGAATAATATTCAAATGGATAAATTGAGCATTAGCATTCGTCCTTTTTGTCCCTTATATAATAGAAAATACTGTCGGACTTGCTAAACATAAAACAATAGTAACGGTAGTTAATCGATGATGTAGTAAATCGATTAATTATTCATTATCAGTCAAGCAATACAATAACAAGATTAACGCTGTATAAGTTTATAAATTGTACTAAAACCCAGTGAGAGATCTATATATTGGCAAAGCATAACTAATCCTTTTCCAGTAGATTGATTGATTGATTGATTGAAGAGAGCAACGCTACAATCTTTTCAACTATTTGAAATTAATTCGCCATGTTTAAATCGGTGAAAGAATTAATCGCTCGCGATATTAAAAATGTCGAAGAAGCAAGTCATCGACAATTATTAGAAGATGCTCGTAAAGGTAGTCATCTAGGTGTCAAAGCATTACTTAAGGTATGTTCAGACTTGAGTCCAGAAGATGATCAAGGAAATACACCATTTTTACTCGCTTGTGCTAACGGACATGCTAAAATAATGGAAACGTTATTAAATTGTTCCAGCGGAAAGTATAGCAAAGCGATCGATGTTTGTGGTCAAAATCGTGATGGCGACACGGCATTGCATTTAGCAGCTTATAGTGATCATATGAATATTATTAAAATATTACTCAAGCAACCAGCAGTCCTTAAAGATATCAATACTGTGAACAAAGATGGAAATACAGCCCTTCATTTAGCCGCTATCCAAGGACATCATCATGTCATTAATGCTTTATTACGTGTACCCAACATTAACGCTACTAAAGTCAATAAAGACTACAAAACTCCAGCTCAGTTAGCTAAAAGTAACGGACATAAATCGCTAGCTAAGGATATGAAAAAATTTGCAAGCGAAGATGACAAATGTATTCTCATGTAGTGATGGTAAGTCTTATTCATTTCGCTCGCGTACTTAGACCGTTCATTTTCACATAACTATTTCCATTCTCACTTTGTATAGCAATACTATTACTTATCCTTTCATTCTTTCTTTGAATCAAGTAGATATTATTCTTAATCTTTCTTTTCTATCTCTGAATATTCATATGAAAGTTCTCAATCCGCAGATCATTTTAGTCATTGCTTTCTGCTTTATTTTGTATCTCAACAGATTATATATCACAACGCTGTATTTTCTATCATGGCTAATACTTCTATCTATAGTAATCCCAACTAGCTGGATAAACCTAATTTGAACGCTACTGGTAATTTTATAAGTTATATTGGCACTATGAATTCTTACAACGTCCAAGCTTGGATTGCGACGTTGCCAAGAAGAAAAAATGAACTTTTTTATCGCATGAACTACTATCATGCTTCTTTAAATTTTAGATCTGCAAATATTCAAATGAAGATTATAAAATAGTATAGTTTTAATTCTGGTATGGAAAAATGACGTATATTTGATAGTTATTGAACTTAACTATAGTAATTATTAATTGCATACAATTAAAATCAAGTTTATCTTTTAGTAGGAAGAAAATTGAACTTTAATGGCGCTAGAGTAGCGTTGATTTAGTAACATTTCAGAAAACGTATTTTATAAATATTATAAGAGTAATTCCATGCGTTTATGTGTTCCTGAATAAAGCAAACAATTTACGAACTGTACACGTTTGTTGTATATAAATATAATAATAAAAACGCTGATCAATTACAGCAACTATAAATGATCTAACTATAGCATAGAAGTAAGATGGAGTAATCGACATCACCATCAAATTAACTTTAAACTATAATTCACATTGTTGAATACAACTTTAATTTCGCACTTTTTAATCTATTCTTATGTTCTTACTTTGGATTAATAACTGTTAATTTTTGAATAGTATTTAAAGGACATTATAAGGAACACCTCTTTAATACTACTGCTACAATACTTTTAGCACACAGATGAAATTAATAAGATTGATTTGGTGATGATATTCATGATTAACTTCTTGTTGTAATCTTCCGTCATATTCAGGATGTTATAGTATTAAAAACGTTGAGTATACACAATGTATCCAAAACTGACTTCATTATTAAATTATAGATTATCGGTAAATTAAATTTGTTACATCTGTAACTTTATTACCAGAACACACGTATATTACATATCTTAGTGAGGAAGAAAACAAATTACTATTTCCTAAAGTAATTTCTCGATATTACAGGAAACGGTTGACTGTTTTATTTTCCTCATTTATTACATATGCTAAATAATATACCTGAAATATTTAGAATGCTGGATTCATCGTCAAATCTATATTTATTATGGCAATTGTTCAACCCCAATCTAGGATTAGCATATCTCATCAACACTTTTGCACTATGGAAAGCGATTATTCATACATAAATTTGATTTCATAGCCCAAAGTGATATTTCTTTACAGTATAGTAATATTCTATATCCATTTTCAATTTACGAGTATAGTGGGCTTTGATCTGTATTTATTCTTTCCTTTCAATTTAATTAATAAAAACTGATAATGAAGGCAAATGAAAAATCAAACAGGAAAGATTACTGTTCATTCTGTATATCAATTTATTGCTATCATTTGGCATAATCTAATAATATCTACTACTGATTGCAGTGTAATACCGATATTCGACTTTAGGGACACGTTGGTAAGTTGAATAGTTATTAAGAGTTTTGATTAGATACGGTAGGAATTTATGGTATATACTAATATGTATTGCAACAATACGAAGGTGATTGAAATGATTTAGGGGGGTCAATTATTTAATTAAAATTTGGAGATCTTAAAATCAGTGAAAGAATAAAGCATATATTTTTCGGTCCTTCAAGTCTTTTTTTTTTAAAATATTTAACTATTAGTGGAAAAAGGAGTTGGATTGCATAGAGTGATAATTACTAAGAGCCAATGGATTTACGTGATAAATTATAAAATTCACTTTTATTCATAAACTTTAGCTTATTTTTATTTACGTGTAGAATTCATATCACAGTAGAACTAGGAACTACTCATTGTAATATAGAATATAAAAATGTATATATTGCATTTGTTTAGCATATTTCATCATGAATAGATTCATTAAAATACGTTATTTAAATGTAATAATTTTGTATCATGCACAAGCAGTTTATTCATACCTATTACCCTATGTAAATATGAATTTATGCTGATACAAATATTAAAATGCTTGGAAGTCTTTTCTATTAGTTCTTATTAATATAGAGGCATCGACTTCAATAATAGTGATTGTAACTAGTTTAGTTGCCTTAACACTCTCCATATTTTAATCTTGCGCTTGTTACAAGCTTTACTTTACCGTATTATTCCTTCGTAAGCCTTATTCTCTCATATGCCATTCTTCACTAAAAGTTGTGATAGAATGGTAAAGACTGCACATGATATCCTTATAATGTTTTCTTAATGGAAATCAGAATCTATACGTATCAGAAAATAGCAGTATTCCGCATGTTGTAGCTATATTTAAACTTTTTTGATCTCTATAAGTGAAAAATAGCATAACCATCCATTCAGTTTTAACTGTGAAATTTGCGATCAATTAGCAGACACATTTTTATCGAGAATGGGAAGTGATAGAATAAGTACGATTGGCTGTATAAAGATACTATATTGGTATTGGTTCGCTATTCCATGCTGCTTTGCATAATTAAGAAACTTTCGCTCAAAATAGCTGAATAGCTAAAAGATGTAATATTTCAGCTGCCTATCTTACTTAATGTAAAGTATCGCTGCATTTACTGGGATAAACTTGATTTCAAATTTAATGTAGAGAGAAGGTTAATATTAATTTAAATTATTAGTTTTCTCTAATATAAAAATACAAGCTACTTTCATTATAAAACTATATCATCCAATTATAGTATCATTTTTAATACAAAATCCGAATCAGTTGGCTGAATTACTTAAATTCTTAGGTATTATGTACTTTTTCCGGCAATGATTACTAGCGTAATAAAATAGTAGAAAAGAGCGATCTTCAGTAACCGAATAGATTAACTAATCGTAGATTCTATAATTTTTGATCGTTACTCTAGTTAATCTATTTAATTCCATCATTGTGTGATGACTTGAAACTACTCTATGCAGTTATACAGGTATGCTCGTTTACCTTACATGTAGATTGATATATACTATACGTGTATTTATTTGTGTGTTCGTATATTATACTGATCATACGTAGTCGACTTAAAAAGCATAATCGCATACAATATGCTTTACAATATAGTATTATTCCGGAAATAGAAATAAGAAGAATTTGTTCAAAACTGAACCTATCCTTATAATTGACACGGCAGAGCTCACTGCAATTAAAATTATCAACTGTCTATCAACAGTTATTCAAAGTTAAGGAACTCATTAAATTGATTTTGTGGCCGATTGACATGTTCCGCTATGCTATGGAAGCGATTAATAATTAGGATGAGTACAAATTTCATCAATTTGTAAGCAAAATTGAAATAATGTCTGATGGACCTGCTATACTGAAATAAAATTTGGGTTAAGGAGGCAATGCTAGTGATATGTACGGTATCGTAAAAACAAGTATTTATAATTGTAAGGTAAAATTAGATGAATATATAATATTTAATATCAAAATGTAATTGTTCTGTAACTCTTAGTATGGATATGTAGGGATTTATCATATGAAATAGTATAGGTTAGTTCATAGCCCTAAGTATAGTTAGTGAAATTCACGTATCATGATGGTATGTGTTGTTACTAGTAGAAGTAAATAAGCACAAGTTACGTAATAAAAAGAACTGATGTACGGTAATTTGCAAGCTACTCTGGGAGTAACTAACGTGTACAATAATAGTTTAGACACATAACAGCCGCTGAATGAAATTTTTAAAGTCAAGTCTAGGAAATGAATTATTATAATTTGTCAGAACATTTTTAGTTATTTACGAAATAACTAATACGCAAATTCTAAATAATTCTAAACAATGAAACTTTGTTATTGCGGAGCTTTATGCCAATATATACGGTAAGTATTGCTTGGATTATGGCAGCTTTTATACACATTGGTTCAATATCCGTTTCTTATTTGACATTGTTTATTTACTTTATGTAGGCCTAGAAATACCACACGTAAATAATCTAGCAGAGAATAGTTTTCCTACAGGTCAGACAGAAACTAATACAGGTAAATTTACTGGTATACTGGCCATAATATCATTTAGTATTGAGTAATGGACACAATTCGAGACCGTAGCTTGGAAAGAAGCGCACATTTACGCCGCAATGTCTCAACTCTCCCTTTAATTTGCTGTTGTAATGAATCATCTAGATCTGGATGATTGGTTTTCGTCACAACTCGTGTTACCGTTTATGCACGTGCACGCAGCTATTACAGAAAGAATTTGACGTTATGTAACAGTAGAAATTATAGATTTATATAATATCAACAATGCTGATGGTTGTTTATTAGTCAGTTTTGCTTTCCTTGGGAAGCTGTTATGATGATTTCATGATATTGACTGAAATGAGTTTCCTGCTTATCGAAATTTCGATTGCTCCTTCGATCGATCTTATTATTCGGAATATTGATGTCTTTTCAATGGATGATACTTTCATATATTTTTATCCTATACAGTAACAAGAGAATGTCCTCATATCACGTAAATGGCGCAGTTATTCTTTATTTAGACACTTTCCGAGCTGATTTATAAAATAGACAAATAATTTATTTGCTAGATTTTATATTTTTAACCTTCATCTCTTGTTCTATAGCATTACGGATCTACATTTAATTCTATCAGGTTTTATTATTTAGTATAGGACAATTGCAATTATTTCAATACAGTAAGTGCTGTATCCTTGGCCTTAAGAGCAAAAGTAATATTAACATATTTCCATTCCATCAAGGTTAGGATTTTGACTGTAGCTATCCAGTTTAGATAAAGTTTTGTATCTGTTATTCATGATATTTAGTTTGATGGAATGAAATTGAAGTGCAATGTTTGGTGATTACATAACTTTTATGATGTACCATTGAGAGTAGAATTTATAATATTTAAGATTTTTTATATGGCATCAACTTCAAAATCTCAGATTGAACTCTTTTCTGAAATTACTGTAGCTAATTGTAAGTTTAAAATTTTTATATTACTTACTGGTACTTAATCTAAACAGCTATTTTAGAGCAGTAATAAAAATTACTAATAGAAGAAATTTTAACCATGATACAATTAAATAGAATAAATGAATGAAAAATGATATGTTCTAGCTTGGATTTAACGTCTTATTTGTTAAATAATCGTAGTCATTAGATACTGTGATATTATTGTACGCTTTTGCAGCAAAGGAAGGAAAAAACAAACCCGTTCCCAAGAGATCGATTACGTAATCAGTATACTGAATGTTATCATTTAGATTGTTTCAAAGCGGCTAAGCTTAAGCTATTAGCCTACATCTATTATTAAAAACCGTTGACTAGTTTACGGGATAAAATTTATTTTCCATTACAGCTAAGAAAATTGAATTAATACAGCCCATCATGAAGAGTTCTGTAGCGAACAAGGGTAGGTAAGTTAATTTCATATACCGGCAAATAATTTTCGGAGCAAAAATTCAACAGTTAAATTTAATGCATTTCCTTTGATTTAAATATGCTACTATGTAATTATGGCAAGAAAGAATAACAGGCATTTGGAAATGACGTAGATGCTTCGACTGAAGCGGAAAATAAACCATAATTTAATTAAAAAATTAGTCTCGCAGGAAATCAGTCAGATACCTAGCAAGAACGTTGATGCTTTGTACCGTTATATTATATATTAGGATACAGTACTTTAAATTTGAGCGATGCTATTTTCTACATACAGTACTGATATGGGTCTAGTTGTTAGTAAATTAGATTATAAACTGGTAATAAATTTATTTAGCTATACAAAGCGCTATAGCCAGAGACAGGTGATTGCTAATAACCACTAACATCAATTAAATTTATGTTCTTATTTAAAGAATAAACACATGCAGAAAAATATTTCGATTTTTCGACCTTTTTGATTTAAAAGTAATTTAATTTATCTGGTCTTTAACATATATATATTTGCACATTATTTGAATGCTAGAATATACTCTGTAGGATGCAAGTTGGATGCATTGTATCAACTGATAATCTTTCACAAATATAAAACTCTTTGCTATCTAGAAAATTATTTTCACTTGACTCTGTTACCGTGGAAATCTAAAGTCACATAAATATATAATGCATTGTGTGTTGACATCATAGTCTAACATAGTAACTATTGTATTGGTTTAGTAGTTGGTTGAAAGTCAACGTCAGGAGTGTGTTATCTTAAGTATTTTTTCCTTCACACTGGGCTTGGTTATGATGAATACTTGTCCTCTATGATTATAAATAGTAACAAACACAATCTGGTACCTCCTTCATGCAAATCTGTATTATTGACTGAGTGAATCAGATTGTTATCAATGTAAGATAGTAACACTTTACTTTTCTTTACCCTTGTATGATTATAACTAACAAACAATAAAATAAGGATAATTATGACTTGGATTAAATGTTGTACTATATTCGTTATAAATAATAATGATGATTCGACTATTACTTCATGCAATCTTTATTTTGAAATAGATGTTGAAGAATAATTTATTGCCTTGATTTAAAATTATTAATAGTAATATTTATAAGTACTACATTACAAAAACACTTTAAATATTGTCAAATTATATATATATATCTTATACAGAACGCATTTTATTAATGGTACGTTGGATTTTGAGTTATACATAATCATTAGAATGATGACTGGGTGAATATTGATTCTATATCACCTTAATCCTAATTGAATTAATTTTCTTCTCTTTTACATTTTTACTCATCTTTTATGCCCATAGGTCACTAGAGCTGTTGTAACTTGATTACTATTTATAAAATATATATACTCATGAATTCTTCACGTGATAATAAAAGTCAAGGTTATGTAGTACCAATAAATAGTATTTGGAGTTGTTTTCTTAATTATTAATTCATTTAGTTACAATAAAACAATGTTTTACGTCATTGAATCAAAGTTGATGCCTTGGATCCTAATTTAAAGGCACTGACATTACAAAATGTAAAGTATACCATATGTTGTTCGATTCCAGTTAAGTTATTAATCATAACATGATGAAATATTATTCCTATTCCTATTTTTAAATTCTATCACAACCCTATATAACAGTAATAGAAGTATCAATATTCAATTCTAATTGAGTGCTTTTAGCTAATGCAAAATATGTGTCTTTATCAACAAGAGTTAATCATTCGTAATGCCTACGTAAGAGGATAAGAAATTAAATCATAATCCATAGATTAACGATCAAGTCATCCGTCGTGATTACTATTGTAGTGTTGTACACTTTATTCTCTAGCCAAACTTTCCCATATTATCTTGTCTAGCAAGAATAACGTCATTATCCACGTGATGATATTATTATTAGGAAAATATAATCTATCTTGATATAGATTATAGATTTCTTTTCATTCTACAATAAAAGAAGGTCAACAGATTGCAAAAGCGTTGAAGGAAAGATAAAATAGAGCTTTATTTATCACGCAACAGGTGATTAAAAATAGTCATTCTCATGCAAAATTAATATAATGCCTACCATTTATAATGGAAAATAACGGCTAAATCTATATCTCTACCTAGGATAGGAGTTGTAAGGCAGAGTTATTACCGAGTATAATCATTATTATCATCGTTTTCAGTTTGCTATTGTATGCAACTATTGAAAATATTATGATATCCATAATGGCCGGCTAAGTAGGTGGTGCTTGTGACATTCTGGGTTGTTCTCATTATCTAATAACAAAGATGTCAAAGTTAATTATTCGCCTAATGATGATGATGTCAATTTTTATACAGCACATGTAAAAGCATGTAGTGAGTTCAAAGTCGGGCTAAATGGAAAGAATCATAATAATTAAGGTGATTAGCAACCTATTTCTGGTGTCTATACAGTAGTAGCTAACGACACCCTATATAAGCAATAGTATCACGATGATCAATTATTTATTTTAGCGCTTGATTCAATCTCATATTGAACCCTAATTATTAAGTGAACTTTTGATTTTTCCTAGTAACTTGCTAACGACGACATTGTTGACTTAAGAAAACATTTTGGCATGTTTATCAGTGAAAGGTTAAGAAGACTGTTGATTAAGGGTTATTGATTGACTTTTATCGTCGTTATTTTATTAACGAGAAGCTGTTGTCATTTCTTCTCAGTATCAGCAATCGATTAAACTTGGATAGAGGAGGTTCAGATATTACACTACATTTCGTCCATTACTGGTTGAAAGATATTATTGGTAATCGTCTAAGCCGAAGAGTTGCTGAACTCACTACTTCTTCATAAAAAATGAAAGACGTCTAACGTTAATTTCTATCTTCAACTTTCAACTACTGTACGATAGTCTAGGAAAAAGTGACTTATTTTAATCCAAGTATCGACACTTTCCTACGACAAACCATTTTACCTTGAATTATAGAAATGCTTCGTGCCGCGAAAGAGTGGATTGATCGTGATATTAAGTCGATAGGCGAAGCAAGCTCTAAACAATTTCTTAAAGATGCCGAAAATGGCTACATAATAGGTTTAAAAGCGTTACTTCCTATTATGACTAATTTAGATCCAGTCGATGGAGATCATAATACGCCTTTCCTCTTAGCAGCTGCTTATGGGCATGCTAGTGCTACAGAACTTCTACTAAATTATACATCCACAAGATGCAGACCTATCGATGTTCAACATCGTAATCGCGATGGCAATACTGCATTACATTTAGCTTGTATTGGCCGCCATACCAGTGTGGTTAAATTGCTACTAAAATATCGACAAGTGATTGAAGATGTTAACGCAGTTAATAAAGAAGGCAATACAGCTTTGCATTGTGCGGCTATCGTGGGTCATAAAAGTGCTATAGATTTATTAGCAAGAACTCCAGGTATCAACTTTAAAATAGTAAACAAGAAATACAAGACACCTAGACACATGGCTAAACTAAATGGAAATAAAACCATTTCTGAAGATTTACACAAGTTTGCTTCGGCAGATGGACCAAGTTGTAAAATTATGTAAAAACTTTTCCTTAAATGATTTAAACTTGCGATATCCGGACTTATCTTTATAGCGGCCCTAAATTAGAGCCTTCAAGATCATGTTACGTATATATTCTCTACAGAAAAATCATTTACTAACCTTATTGCGTCTGTTTTAATTACCGTAGTTTGCAAGTGTTAAAATGGATACATTTAATTCTTAAAAAGGAGAAATTACTAAATACTAACCGTGAGATATGGAAGAAGATTTATTTTCAACTAAAATAATAGCAGGAAACTCTTAGTTAGTGTTGAAAACTTGACAGAAATTGGTCCTGCTCAATTTTTTATAATTAAGACTAAAAATTTAAAAAGAAATCAAAGTTATAGGATTAATATAAGCATATTTTCCAATTTGAATACGATAGATTGAATTTATATTTTAGAAATGGGTACCGTCTTACTTATAAGGTCAACTAGAATTACTTTAAAAATACATTATAAAATGTTTTTTTTCAGTGTCTCATTTATGAGGTTTTATGGAGTATTAAAGTTCTTCTTTTTCATCCGAGATTGGATACTGCTTTAACTAGTGGGATAATTACTACTCTCTTATGATCTGATAATGCATATTAACTTTATTTGCTTGAACTTCTATTTAATAAATAAAATATTTTCATTCCTTTTAAGCCATGATAGGTATAACATTAGATGAAAAATTCTGTATTTTAACACTAGTAGATGTTATTTCTGTCGTGTCCACTTGGCTAGAGAAAGATATCGATTTTGACTAAGTTTAGCCAGCATTTTATGTTTATTAGTTGCCATTTTCTTTCGACAATTACATAGTGAACAGACACAAATTCTTCCGGCCTAAAAGTAGGTTAATTTACAAGATTTATGAGCCATGAATGATTCCATGAACTATAATAATTCAGTCACTGATCATAGCGAAAAAAATTGATTTAGTGCGATATTTCTCCTGCAAAATGTGGCTATCTTGAAGTCAAGAATAAAATAATGACTTTTTGTACTAAGGTATTGGTGGAAAGAGAAATGTAAAATGTCTTAATGAAGTAATTTAACGCTACAAAATCGATAGAAATCTTGTTCGTTGTTCAGAGTTTTAGCTTGTCCATTTCCATATTACTGTAGTTCAACAAGGTAATCGAAGAGTAATCAGTGTAAGGCATCGTCCATTTTAATGGGCCTACAGGCGATTGCACTATTCAGACATAATGGTTGATTTTACCGTTGACTTTCTATATAATTAATGCTATTATGGGTGCAAGAAAAGTTGAATTAGCTGGGGCTAATGTTCTTTGCTACGACACTCGTAATCTCTTACCTAGTAAGAAAAATACTTTACGCCTATGAGGAGCAATCATGAAATTACAGGTAGGCCCATTCATTATCTTGCTATTCGGCTGAATTTCCCTATAAATAAACGACAGAATTATCCTGTAAAGTACTTATTATTGATGATAGCTGGGTAAATAGATTGCGCTTTATAATTAATACGAGTAATTAAGGTAGCAGGATTGAACAGGATATTAGAGGACTCTTCTTTAACAGATATCTAGCTGTTTGTACGTTTTTCTATCTGGAATTGTGACAATAGGAAGCATCATAAAATTGATAATTTAAGCATTATAAAGTATTTAACTAATTCAATTTTTGAGGTAAGTTTCGGATAGTTTATTGCTGATGTGAACTATTAGAGTCAATTTTGCAGCTTAAGGAATAGCTAGCTACATACTCCCAACAGAGTAAATGAGCATTTCCTTCTTGCTTCTTAACGCTTAGGCGATATCTCCCAGCCGATCTTCTATTCTCGACTGGAAAGTAAAAGAAATTCAAATATGCTAAATTTCCGGAGTCATGTTTTCTGGAATCATGCATTATTCGTTTATCCGTAGTGTAATAACAAATAAGAATGACCATTTTAGGTTCTTGTTGATTGCTCAATCCTTAGTGATGGAGATAGATCTTAGTTATATAGCAGGTCAAGATCGATTGATTATACTTGCACTTACATTGTAAAATTATCCCATTAGATATGGTTATGGCGGAGATATATACATGCAGTCCTTGGTTGAAGAATAAGTTTATGTCGTAAGGTGAAGTGGAACAAGAAATCATTTCTCGCTATTTAATTTTAGTGACGTCCACGTCTATAGTACAAAGCCAACCAATGCCGATAGATTATCTACTTTCACTTTACTGATATTAGCGGTTGTATATTTTAATTCCTTTAAATTGCCATAGGGTCGCCACTAAAGGCATAATTACTGGCTAGATTTTATCTAAACTATCACCTATCTTAATGTTATATCTCAAGTCTAAAGTCTAATCAAAACTTTTGAGCTCTATTTCTATAAAATTGAACTGGGAAGAGTTTACATGTTGTCTTGGCTAGATTAAGGGTATAGTTGCAATATAGAACTAATCTAAAGTAATACATTTCTTAATGATATCACAAGCGTAAAATCTGGCCAAGATCTCATCCTGAATTTCCATAGCAGTCAAAGAGATATTTTACATGTTGGCAGATCTGGTTTAAGGGATCTAATCTAAATTATTGCACGCTTTAATGCTTTTGCGAATGTAAAAATCCAGCTAAGATATCCGTCTGTATATCCATTAAAAGTAAAGAGGAGATAGCTTAAATACCGTTATACCGGAAATAAAGGCTTGACTAAATTTAGAAAAATCGAAATTATTACATGCGCCAATACTATTACAAAGGTGAAATCTAAGCAAGATATCAGCCTACATGGCTGGATTAAGGGCTTGATCGCTACCATATTTAGACGAGTCTAAATTATTATACTAGTACATACTAATACTGTAAAATCCACCCTAGATATTGGTCTTACGTAGATAGGAGTGAGTATATAATGGGCTATTATTCTACAAGTTGGAACAGATATTAATTGTAGAGCTCAAGTAAGTAATGAGATTAACACCGGATCTTTAGAGAAGTTTGCCGATTAAATAGTATCTTATGCAATACTATGGAATCTAATTTGTGCTATAATTCTAGCAAATTGATCATATATAAGTGAAGTAAGAGAGATCTTACAGTATCTAATCTAAGTTAAAAAAATGAAACCTCTGATCTTAGGAAAATAATTCTCTTAATTCACTTTATATTACATGGTGTGCTCACTCACCAACTGAGATAAAATCTCCGGTTTATATACATTTGCATTTTTACACATAATCAACCTTGTTAATTATTCCAGCACGCTTTGCACCCTTCATTGGTGTTATAACACCTTAACAAGATATTTCTAAGCAGAGCTAAAATACTTACTGTAACTGGTTAGTCTTAATAAACTCATTTACCTAATTAGAACCTTATTACTCTACAATCTCACAACCTATCGTTTGCTACTCACAATTTTCACAATCTATTTAGCTATATTTGGGGCTACGCCACAGGATGCAATCGAAAGCCTTTACGGTACTACCCATCTCAGTCAAGTCAGATATTGATATCATAATGGATAAGAATATTAGCAGCTCTTTTTTTACGGTTACATTGTTCAATCTCATTGGATCTAAGCGTAATCAAATTCTATTCTTTTTCTACATTATCAGGTAATAGGTATCATAGGATAAGTGTTTTTGGGGTAACGACATCATCAGCACTATCCTTTTGGAGGTCTTGTCCAGATAAATAGCCATTGTCTTTATTACCTTTATTTCTTACGTCAAAGTTAAAAATCAATCATAGTCGATTTAATTGTGATCATTTCTGTTCCTTACAATCATCATAACCAATTGTCATGCAAAAATCTTCTATGTACTGATAATTATTTTATATTTGCAACATACAATTATTGAATTCTATTTTGATGCCTTCTATCTATTGATAGTTCGTACAATCGAAAAATAGTTATATAACCACCGTTACTTTTCAATTTTTTAATCACTCATAAAAATTTCGCTAATAGAATCGCCATCTATATTTTCATCTTAATCATTCACTTAAATCATTTGATATTTCTGTCTTCCTTGTCTTGAAGAAGAAATCTCTCGTTCCATATCAGGTAAAAATAGTTGGATTGTAAAAAGTACGGATAGGATGATTTTGAAATTATTACCTTTAAATCAACGGATGAATGATATGTCTAATACTGCGTGAATGAAGTAAACGATTTATTACGTTTCCATTTCTTTACATGAACGATTTCAACAAAAATTTCTATCCGTGTAATGATATTCTCAATTTCAAATAGCAAGAATAACTTAAATACGTCATTAATCAGAGTTTTAACTTTAAATTAGCTTGTACGGGAATATATTCTAATATGTATATTGATCACGATAAATTTTATATTACTAAAGCACTTCGAAGATTAATATTTATTTCATAGAATCGCAGATTTATGCCAACTTCTTCGTAATTTGATATAACGACTGTGTAAACCACCTTTACCTTAGGCAAAATTCATATTAATATACGTTCATTATATACTCTGAAAGAAGTATAACTAAATTTCTGCCAATAATGCAATAAGCAGAAGTTAATTAAAATTTCTTAAATTAAACTACTATCATGTAAACAATGCTATAACACTTGTTTACAGGTGTGTTCTCTTACATTTACCCCATTTATTTACGTTAAATTTATTTATGTCAAATTTATTGCCATGTAGTGAATGTAACTTGTAACTGGAAGCTAAGTCTTTCCGTCTAGTAGATTCATTCCTTATCGAAGATAAATTCTAATACAAGACATTTCATAATCATTCATACGACAGAAGTCACAGATTACAGTTAAAATTAAAATCAGAAAATCTACGGAAGTGGATATATTAGTAGATTGGATCAGATTTATAAATTATAGCTTACAATCTTTCGTGATTCTTGTCCCTATATAAGTAAAATAAAAACTATCCTTTATGAATTATAAAATGGTATATCATTAGTATATGAATCGTAATACTGGTGATACTATAAATTTATCTAAAGTATGATAAATTAATAACAATTCGTATCCGGTTTTTGGAGATCAGTTGGAATAATCATAATTGGTTATCGGTCAAATTTTAAATATTTACATAACCTCAGAGGCTCTACATCATTCAAATTTACTGCTTAGTTTAATCTCTATTCGGCTTGTAACAGAAAATTTTTGCACTGATTTGGACAATTTCATACTTAACTGCTACCAAAGTTGTATTTTAATCCCATATGAAGTAAATTAATACTGTGTGTGAGTGTGTGTACTTATCACTAAAGTTGTTTAAGCGCTTCATGAAACAGGTATCGAGCTTTAAAACTATTCTTTATCTCACTTATAGGAATTTATTACTGTAAATTAAAGTTGAAATTAAGCTTGAGCTTCATCTTGAAAGCATACTGGTATAAAATGAAAAGACTCAGATTGAATAGTACTACTACATTACTACTAGAAGCAGCTGAACGCGGTAATTCTGCTGTTGTTTATAGCCTACTGAAGACTGTTGCGAATGTTAACGACACTGATGGTAAAAAAAATACGCCATTATTGTTGGCTGCCGCACGAGGCCGTACTAAAGTAGTGCAAGTAATTATTAATTATAAAAATAGCCACCCCAATATTGATCTTGCAATGAATAATCTCAATGGCGATACGGCCCTTCATGTAGCATGCGAAAATGGACATGCAGCTATAGTCCAGCTACTACTGAGTTGTAGTGATTTTATTCGTGATATTAATGCTCAGAATGTTAAAGGAGACACTGCTCTCCATTTAGCTGCTCGTAACGGAAATCGGGATATCGTTCAAGAAATCTTAAAGATTGATACCCTCGATTGTAAAATCAAGAACTATGATGCAAAATCACCTGCTCGGACTGCTCGTCTTCAAGGTTATCTCTCTGTCTATGAACTCATAAAGCAACGGCAAGATAATAAATGTATCATCATGTAACAGCTATATAGCAACATGGAAGATGTATCGAATTAAAATTTTCTCTTTAGCATGGATAAATTAGATTACAATTAGTAAATATTGTATTAAAAATGTCGAAGTCAAAAGGTTCATTGCGTATACTGGCAATGTATCTAATTCATGGCAAAATCATAGGATGATAGCTTTCTATAAATGAAATTTGAAAGACAGTTATGTGATCTATTTCAGTTAGAATGATATCTTCACTCCCGCTAGTCTAATTTTATTGGTATAGATCAGAAGGATAGAGAATAAGCGCAACTATAGTTGATTTACCATGTAACGTGAAAAATTTAATCATATTACCTAAGTTAGTATTACAAAATTCTTATAAAGTATTTACGAAAAATTGGTATAATAACAATAAGTTTTTTATAAATGTAGTAAACAGCCATTTGAAGCTGTAAGTTAACACTATAATTTGTACTACATTGATAGTGATAAATTACAATACAATTCCTGTAAGTCATTTCGATTCATCAGTAACATAATATTTAGCAATTTTGTGTAATTGTATAAGATTGAAAGTATTTCTATGAGGCTATAATAGATAAGCCTTGATAAGTTATATGGAAAGTAGATATAACATTTCTATAGTTTGTGTTACTGATGCTTTTTAAATTTTCTTCATCGAAATATCCAAAAACCAAGAATGAAATCGCCAGTTAAGGTGATAATTGGTGTAATTTGCATTTACAACAAAGACTAAAATTTCGATGTATTAATGCGATACAGTTATCAGTTTATATGCATCATTGACATGGTGTTTAGTATTTTTTGCCTGTGTGGTAAATCATTACATTGCGTATCCTAATCCTTTTCGAATCTCAGATACGTCAATTTTGCTTTTAACGTTAATGGCACAGGTACTCGTAAGGAGTTAATAAATGCATTGTTACTCTATTTTGGTGTTAATAATTAATAAAGCTCTTATGCCATTGTCACGGTACGAACTACCGTGAAGAAATAGCCATCTAAATTTGGTTAATATAATATAGTGATAATATATTACAACTAGTTACTTACAGTAGGAATTACTCTAATTATAAATGTGTTACAGTAAATTTAATGCTGTGCTGTAATGTGTACTGAAATGATTCTGTGAATGGACATATTGTAGCCCGACTGTGAAAAATTAGTTAGTAGATGTTCTTACATAAGAATTTTTATAAGATGACTCATGAATGTTAGCTGCTGTAGAAGGGTATATAAGCCCGTCAGATAGTTGAATAAAGCAGTTCTCAATTGTCTAGTTGAGTTTAACGTAGAATCAAAGAGGTCTAAATTCTTGTGAGGTAGTTAAGGGATACTGAATCCCGGAGACTATAGTAATTTAGAGATTTGTTTTACGTTATCCTTATCACGAAGCTGGTTTGTGACAGCCATTCATTTTTTAGAAATAATATTAAGGTTGAGTTGCTTATAAGTATATGTCTATCTGAATTTGATTATAACTAGATTCATAATTTAGTACAAAATCATACATATTAGATAATAACGTAACCCTTAAGCCCCTTCATGATCGTTGTGAAATATTCCTTCCGTAATTGGGTATCTACTGAGCAATTTCTTAATAACGATGATTCTAATTGTGTCTAATTATGTTAAAATAAAAGGAAACTCTTGTTATCCCTTATATTATCCGGAAGATATTTTGATGACGGATATGTTGATTACCCTATTTATATCAGTATCATTTCACTATCACGGAAACGATTTTGCGTGGCATATTCTATTAACTATCAGTAGTATGTATTAGCTACCGCGTCTACAAATTTAGCCTCACCTTTAGATACTGTATCGGTCTAATCAGTCATGACGACTATTCGAAAGATGACTAAATTTTAAATCCAGTACAGTATAAACGGTAAGGTAATAGTATAACTAGGTCGCCTTTGAATTGTTTACTAAAAAAATTTATAGCGAGATGTGATATATACCAATCACGAAATTCCAAATTTTAGAAAAATAAGGGCTTTATTGAATCTTATACAAAGATCAACTACACACAGCTCTACTTTAGCCGAATACTGTTACCGTGCAAGTACGAAATCCAGTGATTTCGCGAATTGCCTAGTCAGTTCGCGAAATACTAAAGACTTCTAGAACAAACTAACAGAATAATCTAAAGTTGCATGCTTTTATACTTTTCGTAGCATTCGCAGCTACAATCCGCATGGCAACCTTTTACCTTATTTTATACATAGTTAAATTATTCTTAGTAAGACTATTCTACTGCGGACCATCATTAATCCAATATGGATACGATTACAGTATTTACGTAGACATTATTCACACCAGCCAAAGTACGATGAATTAACCATATTATAATATATGATTTACAGTTCTGTTTTTACCTATAGCCTTATTAGTAACTCAACACCTTACTGTATATAGTCATCTGTACTCTAGCATAGAGTCTCTACCACTACAGTCTATAGTTATAGCTACCAAATATCTCTTAGAATAATATCTACCGTACATTATACTAAACATGGCTAGCAGTCTACAATCACAATACTAGTTACATTACACGAACTATACCTTACACTATTTTAAAGTAGCTACATTATTTTTCTACTAGCTGGTACTATTACTATATCATATCTTCCTGTTTGAAATTATGGTCGGACTCTTATTTAGCGCAATTTTTGTTATTTCATATGTAGTAATAGTAAAAGACTATTACTCGATCATTACAATAGTTGAAATAAATCGACACAGTATTATCTACCAGTTGATATGACTATAATCCTAATATCTTTCTGCTTGAATTAAGAAGAAAACTTCATTTGGTTTTAGCCTCTGTTGCACTCTATAGAAGACGATAATAAAAATATTTATACTAATTTGCTTAATGTCTGAGAGTTTTCTACGTGGAAATTTTACGTTAAAATCTATCTTGAATTGTTCAATACTTATGTATAAGTAATAGAACCATTGCAGCTCACCGATAAAAGTCTTCACCTTGAATTTTAATATTGTCTATGTAGTTTTATGTGATTCGATTTACTAATGTAATTAATGAGATCATTTATATTAGAATTAAAATTTGTTTTCAAAGTGTATAGAATACACCGTAGATATTACTTATTGTTTAACCCTAACTAGTAAGTCAGTGAAATTGACGAGTAACATGCACTAAAATTGCTGGCAGCGTTTATTGGATAATTTTATTTCAAGATTGACAGTTTAGTAATGTATCTCCACGTAGTGCTTGCTCTAAAAAATATTCTTTATACTATTGATTAATTGCATATAATGTAGAAGTTCCTTAAAGATGAAAGAGAGTCAGCTAATTACTATAACCTACAAATTTTATTAGCTAATTTCAAAGTTGATAAGGAATATCTACGCTGAGTTAAGTAATATTTACTTACTTATGAAAGTAGTGGCTACATCAAAATCCAATCTTCGAATTTTAAAGCGATCAATATCGATTTTGTTTATTTTTAAGTGGAGAGTAATACCATATCATATTTTAAACGCAAAGTGAATTATCCAGAATATCTAATTTTCAGCTTAGGAAAGATTATGCTAGTAAATTGAAGGATAAGGAGAATATAGATAAATAGGATTCAATTATTAATATCTGATTAAACTAAATTGATTGATAGTAAGTACAATATGAAGTAATAAAAGGAGCTTAAATTGCACTAACTAGCAAAACCTAGAGCTAACCGTAATATTGATATCATGAAATAGATAATTAGACGGCTACTAGCTAAATTAGTTTCATGAACTTCTCTTATACTAGCAGGGAACTAATATCTTAGCGTAACGGAAATTAGTACATTTTTAATGGATACCTATTAATGATATAAATTTATTCCAAAATATATTGTTTTATAAATGAAGCGTTTAATACAGCCTTTGAATAAGATTTTTCATTTAAAAAATAAGATTTAAGGTCAAAATACTGGGGCACTGCAATATATAAATTAATGAGATAAATGCATCTGATATCAGTAATGAAATAAGAAAAGAAATTTTGTCTATTTCGTCAAATTGTAGGAAAGGATTGCTAAGTAATAGTCTTTATATGATTTAAGAGTGAGTTGTGTTAATCCATTTGGCAGATAGAGCTTAGAATAGTACTCTTATTATAATATGCAATTTAGCTAAATTTGATTGTTTAGGTATACCACAGACTACTAGAAATTATAGACAATTGTAATTTCTAGTAGTCGATGGATATACGTACTAAGGCTAAGAAATAGCAGAATTTTTACGCTATTTATTTACAAACAAGATGTAAAGTGAAGAATAAACTAATTACTGCTATTTATTTATTTACATCATTAAATCGTAAACATATACTGTACTTGACCTTAAGTGATGTTTAAGACAAGTCATATCTCCGTAATATTATATTCCTACTACTGTAGGTAAAATAGAAGTAGAAAAGAATCATTTTTCTACTGTAGATTACATTCTAACTAGACTTATAGTCGATTTGGTCATTATCTTTTCTAAATCCATGATTATCTTAAATGGATGTAGATAGAGAAAATCGAAACCTTATTCCTTTAATTTTACTCATAAAATCCAATGATTATAGTCGCATAAAATTCGCTTGACTATTTTTTCTTAAGAATTGATATTTATATTCTCCAAGGCTAGGTTATTAATTTTTATCCGTTTATATTATTTTCATCAATATATATATATATATATGTCAAAGAGATATCAAAGATATTTCTCGGTCTTCTTTAATCTCGAACTATTTATCAAGATTAGTTCGCCGCGATAACTATAAAGTTCTTCCTTAAATTTTACAGCAGAAACGATATAAAACTTCTCTTTACGCGTAAACGATAAAATAACCAACTCTTTCTATTATAGAATTTAATTCGCTTTTATAC